CCTTCACGCCGTTTACAAACGAATAATGTTTGTTGTTATTTATATTGTATTATACTATTATACCTATATAAATAAATATATATATATAATATAATATATATTATGTATATACGTATAGGCGATCGCCGATCATTGATTTTTATATTGAAAATTTGTTTGAAAACGAACCGTAACTTTAACAATAACACTATAAGGTACACACACGCACACACACATATAATATAACAATAATTATGTCAATGACTTTATGTACATTATATACACTATATAGTATATAGGTATAGATACATATAGTATAATTATACACTGTAGTGCTGTAACTGTATATACATATGATTTTTATTGCTCCATTTATTACGGCATAACTTTTTTAATCCGAGCAAGTCCTCACCTATAATAATGTCCATCCTGTGACGTCTTGTAAAGCAACGCGCAGGTCACAGGATATACCTATGTAAAGACATCTGGGGTGTTGGATAACTATGTAGGTATGTTATTTAGTATAGCTATAATACATCTATAACAATACCTACTATATAGTCGTCTCACATCGTTGGCTCGGTGTAAGCTAGCATTGCAATGTTAATATTGAAAAGTAGGTATAATAAATTAACTATTAAGTATGAATAGGTATATCTATCTAATTTTCCACATTGTCGGGTAAAACTAAAAAACCTTGAATATTTACGAATTATTCCATTATTAACGCAGATACGTGTACAACTGTACGCGTACGTACCGGTCTCAGTTRCAAGCTGACCTATAGCTCCCGAATGGCGGTGACCAGTGACATCCCAGGGATTTTTAGCATCATATCCTTGTCACAAACACGCGAATACGTGTTACAACCCTACCAACTTAAAAACCTACAAACAAATACACAAAAATAACCCCTACCGTACGACCACACTCCYAATGGCCTATGTTGCCACGGGTTCCCCCTAAACAAAAAAACTGATTTTACTTACATCTAACCACAGATATTAAATATTCGCCAAAATATTTATTTTTGCATTTTCTTGACGGATAGGTACAATTTCCTTTTAAAAATAGGTTCTTTTTTATTTCAGTTAATTTGTATTAGTTTGTTTCAATTTTATTGTTGATAGCAATTTTATAAATCAAAATGCTCGATAATTTATGGTAAAGTAAGAATTTCTACCTTAAATTGTTTATATAGCAATTATTAAAAATATTGRAATAGATCAAATATTTTGTATTATAATATACGTTTTACGGTTCAGATGTCTTCTAATCCACCATGACAATCGCACATTTTTTTTCAAACATAAATCAAATGTATTTTTACTCTATATATTAATTGTAATGCATATATAAGCGTAGGTATTGCATTTTAATACAAATGATAAATCTTTTATCTTTGAATATGAAAATTGGTTCTGAACGGAGACGGCGGTGTGTTAAACTTGTAGAAAAATCAAATTGAATAGTTAATTAAAAAAATTTATAAAATCGGAAAAATTTCGTGGCTACGAATAATGCTATTTTTCGACACAATTTTAATTTTTCGAAATTTTGTCTAAATTTAAACATTAACTGCTGTATTTAAAAACAATCGTGTGGCTGTGTAGCGTGTATCTTAAATATTTGAATTTCTATCAAAAAACTWTGCATTAAATTTCCAAGGTTTTTCACCAASTAAATAATTGTTTATTGGTATTTATAAAAAACAACTAAAAAAACCAAAGATATTTTACTATACATAGAAAATGTATTAATACAAATATTTGGTAAAAATTTCAAATATCTTCGGTTATTCGAGATTTTGATAAATTCGTCAAAATCTTAACATCAGTCAATCATAAAAATTACCGTGGATTAACGCTTAATTTTTTTAAATTACATTATTAAAACTTACTAAATTAAATTTTGTCCTATTACTTCCTATAATTGTACCTAATAAGTAATAACTAATAACTAATAAGTAATAGGCAGGTATTCTATATTTTAATACTTACATCGTTTTTACTAATTTTGACATTTAAATGTAATATCTTGTATTATTTTACATTTATAATGCTACCTAATTAAATTAATAATAATAAAATAACATAATTCTATGATTTTTAATTTGACTTATAACACTAAACGAATACCTAATACGGTAGGTCATTTGCTAAACGAATACCTACCTAACAAACAGGAAATTTGGCATGGATAAAAATAACACTATAAGAGTTAAAATATTATGTTGAAAATTGTTATAATATTTGGTGTAAACTTACAACCTGTCTTTTAATCATACTATTGTAGACTCAAAACATATTAAAACCAAAAATTAAATTCAACACAAAATTATTAATTGTTAGTTAAAAAAAAAAAAAATAATAATAATATTGGTAATATAAATGGTTAATTTTTAAATTGTTTTCATATTGGACGACTTGACACCTAACAAGACAGTAGACACATCGTAAATTTTAATAGACTACTAATAATTGTTATTCGTGTTATAATTTTTATTTGATATGTCACCCTTAATTCTAGTATTTTCATAATAAAAAAATTAATTTTATTCAAAAAATTATACCCCCTCCCCGTTAGTATACCACTGTTGTGATTACTTCTAATAATTTTCAATAATTTTAGATTCTGAGCGGAGCGATGAATGTATTGATTTTACCATAATGTGTGTTTTTATTTTATTTATTTATTTTTTTTT